ACATATATGTGGCTGTGCGGGCCGCGTTTTGCCTGGGCACGAGAGCCCATTCACTTGAATGGACTCCAGTGCCCGTGACACGCACTGAAGAAGTCCCCACACTTCTTCTGAAAACGCAGCCTGCACAGGAACCTTGGTTCCCAGAATGGCTGCTGTTTTCAGTGCGGGCGGCATGGCATTAGAACTAATGGCACCCGCCCGCAGGTCCGCATTCCTCTGTGAGTGGTGCAGATGTTCATGTGGATCTGCAGCGGTATCACCAGCACAGATGTGAACCTAGCCTGAATGCAGGGCATCAATGGTCCACCCCCTGAGGGGACATTTCCATGGTGTCCTGCGTTTACTGGGCATTGAAACAGAGAGTGGTGCTGACAGGGGTGGAACTAGAGTTCTGAAAGACCCTGAGAAAAGAACGGTGGCAGTCCATATAGCACACTATGGTGAACAGTGGGTGTGGCCAAACTGTACTAACAGTGGGAGAGGCTAACCTGAGTCAATTCACTGTATACAGGACACACAAAGGGGTTGATTTACTAAAGGAAAATATACTGTGCACTGCAAGGGCCCCGAAAGTGCATCTGCAAGTGCAGTGCAAGTGCAGTTGCTTTATATTCGAGGGGAAGCTCTGAAATGAGGCAAAGCTCTGCTGATTTCCAATCATGTGCAAGCAAAAACTATGTTTTTTATTTTCCTTGCGTGTTCCCTTCAGATCTAGAGCAACTGCACTTTTAGTGCACTTCCAAGTGCACTTGGGGTGCACTTGCAGTGCACAGCCTATTTGCCTTTAGTAAACAAACCCCATAGTCTCACATTCACAATCCTAACCTACATACGTGGAACATGAAAAAGATAAAACATGCAATGCGCAGAGCCTGCCATGGAGAAGTGTGGGTGTGGCTTAATGGTACTGATATTGGGGAGTGGCCTAAAGGAACATGGTTTGATATATTTCAAGCCCATTCACTGTACACACTGTACACATATGACTTAGTCCTTTTAACTACAAAATACTCCTTAACCCCTTGGCGCCGGCGCCTCCCGGTCCTTTAAGGGTTTCAGAAGTCGGGAGGCGGGGCGGGGTTTTAGGGTCATGTGACTGCCGTGATTCGCCATCACGGCAGTCACATGATCCATGAGTACCGGCGGGCATGTGTGCTGGGAGCAAAGAGGTTAACTACTGTACCATAAGTAAGAATTTTGCGGACACACAGAAAACCTAAAGGATCAATATCAGGCTGTACGGTCAAGCAGATATTCTGACAGGAAGAATGAATGACCACGATGCTTCACAGTGCCGTGGTACTTCATTGAGGACTACAAGCTGACAGCCACTAAGGCTGCCGGGACTTGTAGTCTCTCATTCACAGATGACTGAGAATGAGTGACACGTCAGTGTGGGCAGAGCCCTGCATGGCTATGTTTTTTTTTTAATTTGATAGCTAGCTAGGGAGAAGATCCCCGCTAGCTATCAAAGTGGGGGAGCGGGGCTGATCTGAACGTAACTTGTTACACCCTGAATATGGGTGTAACATGTTATGAAAGGTGAACTTTATCCTTTACTTGTACTTTGGAATGCACATAAAGTGTCTATGCCAGGTATTATGTTAAAACTTTACAAAATGTCTCCTACTTCTGTTATTTCATCTATATTATTTAAGCTCAGACATGAGTTATGAATTTTATTAGCTGATTAGTTCACCCAGCACAAAGTAATCATCATAAAGAAACAAAAGATTATTTTGCTGCTTACTGAAGCTTTTTGTATAGCTTAAAAGATAATATTTAGACTACCCAACCCTGTGAGACCAATATTGTCACATTCTTGACTGCATGAAAATACCCCTAAAAGCTATGAAGCTCAACTGGAATGCTTAAATGCACTGTTTACAGCATCTGAAACTATTAAGGTCATTAAGACCCTTCCAAATGGTAAATCCCCTAGCCCAGATGGTTTATCTAGTGAGTATTATAAACTTTTTCAAACCAATTTTATCTCCTTATCTCAATAATCACTATTATAAAGCTTCATCTCCTGCCTCTTTTCCTTCTGAAATGTTGAAAGCTCCTATTGTTACCATTTTGAAGCCAGGGAAAGAGATAACAGCCCATATGTTGAAATATAGGCTTAATTGATAGCACAATGACTTTTTATATATCCTCCCCACTTTGACCCAACCAAATGGGGTTTACCTGGGGCAGGCAGGCTTCTGATACTCAGTGAATTCTCAATTTAATTCACTTCGCAGAGACCAATTGGGTGCCTTCTCTGCTTCTCTCTTGATGCTGACAAGGCATTCCACTAGATATACAGTATATGTCCCAGGTACTTAGTAACCAATTTTCACTGCTATATTGGCTTTACAAACTTGTCCATCTGCTTGAGTTTTATATTTTTAACATGAACTCTCAACCATAATTAATGGTACCCGTATAAGTTGATAATAGAGCGCTGGGAACGTAGGAATAAAGCAGCTAGCATAAAAGGTCACCTTTGGAACCCAAATGAGAACATATAAAAACAAGATATGCAGCGCTAATAAAATTAATAGGAACAAGTAGAAAATCAGAACATGAATAAACATAATAACATATGTGAAAGAACTCAGTCCATATCGCATGGTGAGATAAAGTGATAGGTGCAATTTGTCCAGATAATCCATGGTCAGAGATAAACGTGACTCTTGTGATCTCGTGATTGTACAAATAATGCACTAACCAGATAGCGCAAGAGATGCGCATGGAGCAATTAAGACCCGCCACCTGGTGCTCTGGACTTGTGATATTAGGAGGATGTCATCTGCAGGTTGGCCACCAGATGTCACCAATCCAGGTATATTCCTAAATCATCCACCAGAAAAATCATCAGCGGGGGAGGGGTAATCCCACATCACTCCAAACCAACAGGAACCTTCAAAAGCGGGCTCCCATGCAATAGATGAGACCCAGAGAAGCTTCTAATAGTGTAGTATATCTCTTTAATAAGCAAAACTAACAGCATGTACAGTTTAAGGATAAACTTACATCCAGAAACGAATCTGGCCACCAGGGTGTCAGTCAGGATAGCCTTGTGGTATGAGTACACAGGTCAGGGGCACCTCCCTAACGTGTTTCGTGTAAATAACACTTCCTCAGAGGGAGTGTGCCCATGGTAAAAGATTGTGCTTATATAGAATTGTAATTGGCGCGCAATTGTGCATTCCTGCATCGCCGATTCCGGTTCGTGCATGCGCACTGGCGACTTAGCGGCCATTTTCTCAGTGATTTGAGTACATGGACGGAAAACGGACGTTCGCGCATGCGCAGTGAGCGCTCGCTGCCATTTTCCAAGAGTTCATAAATAGGGAAGGCATTTGCGCATGCGCATTGAGCGTTTGCGGTTGCCATTTTGTTGGTGCCTGTCAGGGCTCCCAGGTGTGACCAGAGGTGTGTGGCTGACGCAGGGAAACGCAGACCTCAGATATGTTATAAACAATATAATTTATTAACACTAACAATACAAACATAAACGCAGTGCAATACTAAAACATAATACAGTGCAACCAAACCAAAACCAACCACCCACAGATAACAGTACATACAAGCAAGCGTCGTCAGGCAGGCCGGGTCAATATCAATAGGGCAGGTAGGTACAAGGGGAGCAAGCGGAGATTGGTCGGGGTCACAGGCCAGGTTCAGCAGGTAGCAAGCAGCGTAGTACAGAGGGTCAGGCAGAGGGATGGTCAGGGTCACAAGCCAGGGATCAGAACAGGTAGCAAGCAGCGTGGTACAGAGGGTCAGGCAGAGGGATGGTCAGGAGCGAGCCGGGATCAGAGCAGGAGAAGTCAGCAGCGGTTCAGAAACAGGATGCAGGACAGAAACAGGATACAGGGCCCAGGACAAACACAACACCAAGGCAGAGTCTGTGGGTCTGGCCATCCCTTAAATACCCCAGCATAATCAGTTCCAGGTGTTAGCTGGCTGAAAAAGTTGAGTCTCCCCAACCACCCCCCCCCCAAAAAAACCTAAAATACCACCCACCCCCCCCCCACCCCACCTACCCTACACCCCCCCACGGGCAGGACTCCGGGCAGCGGCTAACATCGGGCTGGACCGGGCAGAAGGCACAGGCACACCGGGCACAGAGCACACCGGGCTGGACTCCGGCAGAGGCACATCGGGCCTGGACTCCGGGCAGAGGCACATCGGGCTGGAACTCCGGGCAGAGGCACATCGGCTGGACTCCGGGCAGAGGCACACATCGGGCTGAGGCACAATCGGGCTGGACTCCGGGCAGAGCACATCGGGCCTGGACTCCGGGCAGAAGGCACACCGGCAGAGGCACACATCGGGCAGAGGCACATCGGGCAGAGGCACATCGGGCTGGACTCCGGGCAGAGGCACATCGGGCTGGACTCCGGGCAGAGGCACATCGGGCAGGACTTCCCGGCAGAGGCACATCGGGCAGGACTCCGGCAGAGGCACATCGGGCTACCAGGAAAAGCAGCAGGCAGCGGGCCACCAGGCGGAGCAGCAGGCACCGGCCCCCAGGCGGAGCAGCAGGCCTCGGGCCCCGGGCGGGCGACAGGCCTCGGGCCCCTGGGCGGGGCGACAGGCCTCGGCCCCCGGCGGGGCGACAGGCATCGGGCCCCCAGACGGGCGACAGGCCTCGGGCCCCCAGCGGAGCGGCGGGCCGGACCCCCCAGATGGAGCGACAGGTCTCGGGCCCTCAGGCGGAGCGGCGGGCGCCGGACCCCCAATGGAGCGACAGGTCTCGGGCCCTCAGGCGGAGCGGCGGGCGCCGGACCCCCAGGTGGAGCGACAGTCTCGGGCCCTCAGGCGGAGCAACAGGTCTCGGGCCCCCAGGCGAAGCGGCGGGCACCGAGTCACCAGGCACGACAGTGGGGCACCGAGTCACCTGGCAAGACTGCGGGCACCGAGTCAACTGGCGGAACAGCGGGCATCGAGTCAACTGGCGGAACAGCGGGCACCGAGTCGTCTGGCAAGACTGCGGGCACCAAGTCGTCTGGCAAGACTGCGGGCACCGAGTCGTCTGGCAAGACTGCGGGCACCGAGTCAACTGGCGGAACAGCGGGCATAGAGTCAACTGGCAAGACTGCGGGCACCGAGTCGTCTGGCAAGACTGCGGGCACCGAGTCGTCTGGCAAGACTGCGGGCACCGATTCGTCTGGCAAGACTGCGGGCACCGAGTCGTCTGGCAAGACTGCGGGCACCGAGTCGTCTGGCGGAACAGCGGGCACCGAGTCGACTGGCGGAACAGCGGGCACCGAGTCGTCTGGCAAGACAGTGGGCTCCGAGTCAACAGGCATGACAGTGGGCACCGGGTCATCAGGTATCGGATTGTCTGGCTCGACAGCGGGCATCGGTCACCAGGTATGACAGCGGGCACTCGTCACCAGGCATCAGGTCATTTGGCTGCCAGCGGGCACCGCGTCATCTGGCAAGGCAGTGGGCACCGGGTCACCAGGTATGACAGCGGGCTCTGAGTCAATTGGCACGACAGCGGCACTGGATCAGGTACCGGATCATCTGGATCAACAGCGGGCATCGAGTCAACTGGCCTAATAGGATCGTCGGGCTGGATCAGTTCATCATGCTGAGTAGCGGCATCAGGCTGAATGCAGGCATCAGCTGAGTAGAGGCTTCAGGCTGAGTAGAGGCTTCAGGCTGAGTAGAGGCATCAGGCTGAGTAGAGCTTCAGGCTGAGTAGAGGCATCAGGCTGAGTAGAGGCATCAGGCTGAGTAGAGGCATCAGGCTGAGGAGAGGCATCAGGCTGAAGAGAGGCATCAGGCTGAAGAGAGGCATCAGGCTGAGTAGAGGCTTCAGGCTTGAGTAAAGGCTTCAGCTGAGTAAAGGCTTCAGGCTGAGTAGAGGCTTCAGGCTGAGTAAGGCTTCAGGCTGAGTCACGGAAGGCAGGTTCACCGGTTTGGATACTGGCAGGATGGTATTGGTTGGAAAGAATTTTCGCTTTTTTCTGGTTTTAAATACTGGAGCACTGCAAGTCAAAACGCAGGTCTGCAAACGAATGGAGCAGCTGGAGACAGAGAAAAAACTGGAGGATGGAACAGGAGAGGGAGCAGTTGCTACAGAGGGCTTTTTTACAGGGTTAAAGGCAGGATAGGTGCAGCGAGTGGGAACAGGGTACTGACATGCGGTAGATAGCTAAGTATACTGGGCTGTAACGGAGGAGCTGGTGGGAATACAGGAGTAGAGTTAGAAGCAGGACTGGGTTTTTGTAAGCTGACTGAGGCTGGGTGCAATAAGTCTGTCCATGTCTGCAGTAGGGGTTGAACAAAGCTGAGCTTACACAAAGCCTGTCTGGTCAATGACTGCACTTCGTTTATACAATCTCTTAGTGTCTGTGGTGAACATGTGGAATAACGCTCCAGAAAGTAACCCACATCATCCTCTAATAACCACACCAGGGACTCTACCTGGTCTGCACTAAATGTGGCAAAAATTCATCCCTGCATTCGGGGGAACCAGATGAAACCAACTCAGCACAAACCTCAATCAATGGCTGCACCTCAGAGAACTCTGTGCCCTGATCTTACTAGAACATGAGCATCCGTATACATTCTAGCAGTTGATCCCGGGTATACTCCTTCAGAGTTTGAGAAGCATACTCCCTGTCATCAAACACAAGCATCATATAAATACGCAACCTCATCCAGATCCACCTTCCCATCAACAAACCAAGATGGCTTCCCTGTGCAGCCACTTCTGGTCAGGATTGCCTTGGTGTAATGTCAGGGCTCAACCCAGTTGTGTTGACCAGAGGTGTGTGTGCTTGACGCAGGGAAACGCAGACCTCAGATATGTTATAAACAATATAATTTATTAACACTAACAATACAAAACATAAACGCAGTGCAATACTAAAACATAATACAGTGCAACCAAACCAAAACCAAACCAACCACCCACAGATAACAGTACATACAAGCAAGCGTCGTCAGGCAGGCCGGGTCAATATCAATAGGGGGGGGGGGGTGCAGGTAGGTACAGGGGGAGCAAGCGGAGATTGGTCGGGTCACAGGCCAGTTCAGCAGGTAGCAAGCAGCGAAGTAACAGAGGGTCAGGCAGAGGGATGGTCAGGTCACAAGCCAGGGATCAGAACAGGTAGCAAGCAGTGTGGTACAGAGGGTCAGGCAGAGGGATGGTCAGGAGCGAGCCGGATCAGAGCAGGAGAAGTCAGCAGCGGTTCAGAAACAGGCTGCAGGACAGAAACAGGATACAGGGCCCAGGACAAACCAACACAAGGCAGAGTCTGTGGTCTGGCCATCCCTTAAATACCCCAGCATAATCAGTTCCAGGTGTTAGCTGGCTGCAAAGTTGAGTCCTGAATTGCTGGGAGCATCCGCTGGCCAGCCCTGGTACTGCAGATCAAAAGGCAGGTGAGTCCCACCATTGCTGGCCAGTCCATTCTGACAGTGCCACAGTGTAACACATACTGAAAAGCCTCCTAAGCAGACGCCCAGTGGCAAATCAGGAGCATCGAGGGATTCTCTCTACTCCCTTTACAATAAGCTCCCAATACATTTTATTGAGGGTGAGCTTAGGACATTAAAAACATAAAAGATATATATATGTATAAAAATTATATAAATAATATTCCCCAAAAAACATAAACTACTGGGGATTGCGGGCAGTGACATCTGGTGGAATAGTTAGGGTATTTACTCCAACATGCCACTCAACCTATATCACTACATGATTAATAGGAATAATATTTCGCTGGCATTAATGTGTAATGCACATGCAATGAAATGGTCTTCACACCATTGACAGAGAATAAATACACATAATAAAAATCAAAAGATGGATTGGATATCCAATCAGAACAATCCATAACAAGTAAATAGGTTTAATACTGGTCACTAAAAGACAGTACTATTGAACCATATTAGATTAGTGTTTCCAAATCTACCCTCCCCCCAAACGAATGGGTGCATTTTACAGTTAAATATATTTATAGGTAAAACAACCTTATATAAAGCTAAAAAGGTAGGAACAGTAACCTCTTTAAAATTTGGATAAATAAACAAGTAAAAATAAAACATAAAAATCATGAAAGAAAATATATATACAGCCCCCCCGTTGAACACCTTGACAAAATAAATTAGCTTTATCGATGAAGCAGTTTACATCTAGCCTACGTTTACCCTTTTGGGCTTGGGTGTAACAAAAAAATC